GTATGGTACATTGCATTTCAAATATGTATTCAGAAGTATGAAAATCATATCTAAAATATGAAAATAATTGAGAACTGCTAAATCTAATATAATAAAAATATACGTATCAAAAAAAGTATGTACAAAAGCTCTCAAAAGTATCGTGCAAAAGTTGTACAATGACACACCTGGCTGCTCGCCTCAGTGCTCGTTGCTCCTACCTGGAAGACAACAATGGAAAATGAGCAACAATGAGCTCAGAGAAAACTTAAGTTTTTGTACATGAAAAGAAACACATATGCTCTTATAAAACTATACATGTCTACATACAATCATAACAAGTTGACATAATAGAAAACATGAAAAGAGAGCAAATACCAGTAGTATAAAAAAATCAACTGTAGAGTATCATGCAGGGCATAAGAAAGAAATCATAACGATATAAAAACAAGTTAATTTCTTTTATAGAGGTCATATTATAATAATGTTACTTGTTTTCATTATGGGTCGTCACTCTGCCCCAAATGCCATATAAACTATTGCTAAATATTTGACTTCCTCCAACATAGTAGTTATCGACAAACCCCCTGGTACCCATGGGTCTTTAACTTTCTGTCTCCTAATTCCAAAGATTCCCAGAGTTTCGTACTTGTATTTATATCAGGAGCCGAGAATACTATATCTCTGCATAATGTACTTGCAAACACTCATATAATAGTCTACCCCCTAACATTCATTGTGATATTTAAATTGCCATTACTGTATCAAGCATAAGACATTGCATGTATCATAGGCATGAAGCAAAACACGCATAAGCTTAATCACCTATATCATACCATAAAATAACATCATATGTATATAGCGTCAATGTATCCTGTGAGAAGTAAACATGCATTCATACATTCAATTGCAGGTATTCATTTACAATATGAAAATAGATATCCATTTACAATATGCAGGATCATTTATAATATGAAAATAGATATCCATTTACAATATGCAGGAAATTCTAAATGCATCCGTGTCAAACTAAAAATTATATGAAAGCCTATAAAAGTTTATTTTTCTTAAATTAGCACAAATTTTTTCACATGACTTGACGGAACAGCCCTACGATGAATGCCCACACGTTCATCTCATGCTCGCCATTCCATATAAACAACTTGACGCTCGTAGACAACATATAAATTCATAAAGTTTGGCTCAAAACATGAATTAACTCAAAAAATACTTTACTTGCCAAAACATACCTCGAAAATGTTTTTCGACATAAATTTGCCTTTTCCAAAAACTCAAAATTCCTTCTCAACTCTTTTAAGCCTTAATCTTCACTTTCCCCTTGTTAATTTCGTGCTAAAACTCATGGAACTTTGCTTTCAATGGTTTTGATATTACCTCCATCAACTGTCAAAAACGTGAAAAGCGCAAAAATCGAGGCTAACTTAAATTCAGAAGTGAGAGAAAGGAAGTGAAAGTCTCAACTAACATGTGAGAGGGATTCGTGCTTATAGAAGTCGCACGGATCCCTGGATTGCACTGTAGCAAGTGTCGCGGCTCCCTCGTATGCTTCTGCCGAGTGAACCGAATAGGGAGAAGGGAAGTTCAGGATATAGTAGAAGGAATAGGGGCAAAAAATCGAGGCTCTATACCGCTATTCGACCGATCGAAATGAATAAAATGTGCGTAGTTGGTTGGCTGCAGAGAACATGCGGGTGATTAAGGAATAATTAAAGTTTTATTAAATTAAACTATAATTTTCAAGTTTTATATCTCTCGAGTCGTTCGTTATTCATGCTTGGTGCTTTATATCAAATTGCTCGATTTCATATATAGAATTTAATAAAATTATTTCAGTTAATGTTTGAGAGATGAAAATTTTGAGTGCTTTGAAACTTTGTCGAACTTTACCTGGTTTCTGAAATTTGGGCATTACATTAGCGGCTGAGGATTGAATGGGAGAGCAGAGCAAGGGCAATGCATGCGATTTTCACATGCGATTTCTTCGTGCTAGAGGAAAAAGTGGGGCGATCGTGGCTTCGGTTCGAACTAGTGGATAGAGATGAGCGACTTCATATGTCTGGATTGAAAGGAAGGGATTCGAGCTAGAGCTCAGAGGAGTGGATGCTTTGGTTGTGTGTACTGGAGCGACGGAAGGATGGGTGTTTTCTCGGTTATCTTTTCAGCGAAAGGAAGCATGACAGTGCAAAGGAGATGAAGGAAATGAGAGGTTTGTTCGAAGGCCTGGAGTGGTTTGAATAGGGCAATAGCTGGGAATTGAGGTCTACATGTGCTGGGAGGAGCGTATGACAGTTACGGCAAAAGTAAAGGTTTTGAACGGGATAAGAAGTGTTTTTGTTTGATATACATTCAAATTGTAAAGTGGGAGAATGAGAGGGAGAGAACTCTAGAACGCATATTACGCTGTTATTTACTTAGAACGGTTTTGGAAACATGATGGGTGATGCAGGTGGGAGCAGTTATAGGATGAATAAATTTTGCACTCACTCAAAAGATTTAAAATTTAAATTATTATTAATTAAGTTTAATTAAACATAATTAACAATATTAATAATCTTTGATTTTTTTAACCTAAACATTCGTATCTATCATTATCATATTGAATCAAGGAAACATTGACGAAACAAATAAATGCAATTTTTGACTTTGAAGAGGAGATTATGCCCACCATTACTCGTGCTTTTATGAGGCAAAAGATAGGACAGACATTTTAGCATCCAAAACATTTTTCTTCCCAGTTGGCTTCTCGTTTCTCTATTGTAGCTGTAAATGATGTATTTGGCTTGAAGAGGTGATGATGACATAGAAATCGACTTAGCCTAGGTATGAATCTTATGAAAGGACTTTGGCCTTCTTTTGGCCAATAATAGTCAAATAAACATTGATATTTTGACAAATTATTGTTGGGGATGCAGCTTTTAGATTATTAGAAAAGATTCCAATTCTTGGGTTTAGATGCTCTTGTCAAACACTTCTAACTTACTCCCTCTGCATCGTAGCAGATTAAGATTTCAATTGCTAAGCAAAAAATGCAACCACTCCCTACATGCCAATCGAATACTGCATAGTATGGGTGTGTGATTCTACCTTTTACTTTGCTTTGCAAATTGTCTTTAGAGCTTGATGGGGAAGAAGATTTTTCAGTGGGATGCAAGTTTTATTAGAGAAGAAGAAGATATCTTTCCTGAGTGGTTATACTTTAGTGTGGTTCAACATACCATAGATTTCATTGCAAAGTTGGTTCCTGTGTATACTATTTTATCATATACATTCTGAGTATGGGGGTGGAAGAAGCTATTTCCACATTTAATGGTTCGAGGATTTGTTCATGAGGATACCCATCCATGTATAGTTTCAGTTATGATTGTGCCAATGTGTGATGTATACCAATTCTATCAAGATGTGACTTGGAGTGACAATGCTTACAAAATTGACTTATCAGGAGATAGTTACATTGCTGCCACTTTCAACTTGACTGATCTGACGTCATACTACGATGAGGCAGAATCTTCGACGAATGTGGTTGAAGCTCCTCCAACCCCAAGAGACTCATGTGGGAGATTCTGCTTCGATCGTGGGACACCGCGACTCCTACGAGCGCGGGAGGTGGGTCACAAGCCTCGTTTTTCGTTCTTTTAATGATTTTTTTTATTATTATCCTTTATTCTGTTTTAGTCATTCTAACATATGTGTGTATTGTGGGACACCGCGACTCCTACGAGCTCGGGAGGTGGGTCACAAGCCTCGTTTTCGTTCTTTTAATGATTTTTTTATTATTATTCATTATTCTGTTTTAGTCATTCTAACATATGTGTGTATTAGGGTTTGGATTCTTAGTTTTTTGTGTTTTTTACCAGGACAGTTGTTGGCATCCAGGTTTTCCTTTCTTGGGCTTGTATGTGATAACAAGTAGTGCTCCGGTTGTATCTAGTCTGAGATGTTGATTATCGTCAACGTTTTCATTGCTCCGCAACCTACCCCCTCCCCCCCTCTCCCTATATTCACTGCAACCACTCAAAAAGCAACCTCCTTGGTTTTTTTCTGAAACCGCCTATCAACTAGCTCCTTCCCACTTTGCTGCCATCCATCAACATCGCCTTCCAGCACCCAGCCAATTGCTCTCCTGCCACCTATTTGCTGTCCGAACCTCAGGGAATGCCTTCCCACACATCTTCGCTGCTGTCCTAGCCTTTGGGAATCCCTTCCCCCACATCCTAATCGCTATCCCAACCATGTACAACCTCCCAACTGCAGTCCACAACCGCAACCTTCTCTCTACCGCCGATTAGCACACCCCTTCCCGGTCGCACCCACAGCCAACTCCCAACTTTTTTGACCGGTCACCACACTTAGGGATACACTTTAATTGAGTTTGTACTTGTTTTTGTATTTCGTTTTCAAGAGCGTTTTGTTGTAACCGCATATTTATTTTTTTTATTGTAATTTGTGTTAGCTCCGGTATCATGTTATAGTTTTATTATCTATTGTTAACATAACCATGCTCTTAGTTGTGTGATGGTAAGTAGTTACTTACTGTACAACACTTGGAAGTTCATAATTTGGTAATGCCATTAGGGTTGGCGGCTATGTTTTAGTTTGAAGAAAATTAAAACTTTATCCTCAAATCAGTGATCTTTTTTTGCCAGGATCTCTAATTCCTTCTTTTTTCTCACCTTGTGAGCAGGCCCTATGCTTTGTGTATGCCTCTCTCGAAATTGCTGATTTGATTTTGTTGATTTCATTTTATGTTTTGTTGGTATTTATTTTGTTTTATTCAAGAGAATAATAACATTTTATGTTTTGTTGGTATTTATTTTGTTTTATTTTATTTTGGTATGATTTTCCTTTCCGATTACTTATTTTGAACTCGATGAATTTTTGAAAGTTTAAAGATTCAATAGATATTAATTTTTGCTTGCCGTTTTTGTTAGTATTTTCATTGCTGTATTCTGTAAAGATATTATTGTTATTCTATACTCGTTTTAACTAACTTCAATTGTCAGAACATTCGGAACATGTCTATTTTAACTTCTGCACTAGATGATAATGTGACTTACAAGCTGCGCAATGCTTCTATACAAAAGGTATGGTATCGCTTATTGGTTCAAGTTATTATTCTTTTTATTTCAGGATACATGATTGGAGGGGCTTTAGTTTTATTATTTCATTTCACTTTATCAATAGCCTCTCACATGTATTGGTAATTATTTTTCCGTCTATTTTGCATGTTCCATAATCCTGTTATACTTGTCAAGATTCTTCAAGGTTAAAGCTACGGTAATCGAACCAGTTAACTTCTCAAGGAAACTCTTGCCATCTGATATTGATAATCATTTGCCTTTAAACCATGTTATCTTAAATTTGAGTCTTGTTTATATTTTACAGTTTAGTTTCCTAGTGCATGCTAAAATTGTAGTGCACAGCTTCTTTTGTGGAATGTTAGCAGAGGAAGTTAGCTTATCCACCTTGTGGATAGAAAAAAAAAATGGTTCTTCGCTATGCTAATGAAGTAGTTTAAAATTTGCTTGCCCAACTCGTATGGCTGCTCATATTTTGTTATGAAGTAATTGGATCGTTCCTGTCCCTTCACCAGCAATTCGCAGAGGCTAAACTTGTTGTATTACTGGTTTAATCATATTTTTATCAACTTATCTCTTTCATTTGATTGGATTCAATAAATGGTTCTTTACTATTCTATGTTATGCCCATTATCGCATCAGCTGGAATTATGGTTAAAAAGTAGGAATAGTTATTGTTTAAAATGGCATGATTATGTTATGCCCATTATCGCATCAGCTGGAATTATGGTTAAAAAGTAGGAATAGTAATTGTTTAAAATGGCATGATTATAACTAATTTCGAGTGTTTTTAAAAGTGATAGGCATTCTCCAGGAGAGATAGTGTTGCACAATGCCCGAACCACTAGGCATCACTTTATACTACTGTTCCTTGTGAAATGAGGTGCTAAAAAGAAAAATAATAATCACCTCAATTTAATTTTAAATATGGTGAATAATTTTTTTTATAATGAAGTGATTACATTCACCATGCGGGAAAAAATTGAATGTTCATGTTTCTTTATTACCAAGTTCATTGTACTTCAATATTAAGTTGTCTTAAGCAAATATAGTAGATCACTTTAGTTTGTTACTTCTATAGCTTGGACACAAATTGATCTGCTTTGCTGTGCTTCATCATCATTCGTTCTTTCTTTTCCTTTATTGGATTGCTAGCCTCCTATTCTGCTGTCACCATTCTAATTTTTTTCGTTTTTTGGATTTACAACTCTAGAACTTGAAGAACTTGTGTCTACGTTTCTATACTGTTTTTAACTTGTTTTCTTATCATGCATCTTTATTTTTCTAAATTTTGTTGATAAATTCGTTTGAGTAGTGCTTGGTTTGTCTTCAAATGAACTAAAAAATCAAACTATGTTAAAATGCTGGCACCTAGCTTGGCTGATTTCAGCTGGATTGGAGCAAAAATGAATCTAATTTTTGAATTTTTGAGTAATTTTTGGTCTTTGAGCTAAACTATGAGCCATATTTTCAATTGTGCTTACCTTTTTTTTATTTGAATTTTAGTGTAGTACTTATTATGCTGTTGTATCACTTTCCCTTTTTTTTCTATAATCTTATTTGTAGTAAGTCCTACTTATATAGTTTTTGATATATATTTCTTTTAATGAGAAAAATGTCAAAATAGTCCCTGGATTATTTGTTTGTGATTATTATAGTTTCTACTATATAATATGTTCAATTTAGCCACTTGAATCCTCAAAAACAATTTAAATAGTTCCAATTTTGGACTATTGTGGATTAGCTTTGAGGAGCGAACAGACTATTTTTGACCATATTTGTGGAGTCAAGGGACTAAGCTAGATACATTAGAGAGTTTGGGACTTAAATGGCCTAATAATCATTTTAACACTTTCCTCTATTCAACTCTGTTTTATGTACTTTTGATACCCATCCATCTTAATTTTGTATTTGTGCTACTATAAACTTGGTTGGTTTTGAGCGCGTCACTGTAATACAAATTAGATTCTTTAGCATCTTCAATTCTTAAACTATATGTATTTATTTGTCTTTGTAATTTGCTAATTTCACCCCTCTTAACTGCTGATTTTAAAATTTAAATGTTTCAATTAATTATTCCTTCTTACATGGAGTATTTGTACCAATGTTTCAATTAATTAATCTTTTTTATATGGAGTTTTTGTACCAATGCCTGATCTTATAACTCCGAAGCTTTGCACTTGTTCACCCTTAGCATTCTATTTTTCTAACACTACTAATTTTCCTTGATTATGTATTTTTTTATTCGGTTAATATTTTATGCAGTATTGTTCTTTCATAAAACGTTCGTAGGTATCATCTTTCTATGGGTATTTGTATTGTCTTTTATGTCACATAGTGGGTTCGGAAGACGGTACATCTTGACAACACTGAGCATGATAAACAAAGTGAACATGATTTGTATTCTTAAAAAGAAAATTGTATCCAAGTAATAACAAAAATAAACAACACAAGACAAATTTTATTCTATAAATAAAAGTAAAACTAATACAACTGAAATGAAAAACAAGAACTAAATGAGGCAAAACTGGAATGATTATAGGAAATAACTATCCAAAACCTTAAAGATAATCCTCAACAACTAATGCAAAACTGAAAAATACCTAAAAGAAAGTCTAGAATTGGAAAATCCTTTATGCAGAGCGGGTTTTCAAGTGGCTGAATAGAACATGCTATACAAAAATATCAACGACAGGTTTGACAAATTGAACTCGATAAATAACTTCTTTTCATTAAAACATGAATGACAAGGATATAGTGCATGCAATATGATCAACATAGAGACAATTTATTATGTGCATATAAAATGACTTGTAAAAAATGTTATGAATATGCTTAGTTAGTTTAATGAAATATGCAATCATTTCAAATTCGATCAAGTCTCACCAGTGTAAAACTTAGCATTTATTAATTATTCAATTTCAATTTAATTTATATTCATATAATCAGTTTTATTAGATATCCTAAAATCGAGAAGGTAAACATCAAACAAAAATAACTGGACAATTTTCTGTAATGTTCTCTCTATGTGGGCTCGTTGGCACGACTAGTCAAATATCTCAAAGGGTTCCAATAACCTACATACCACTGCATACGAGCATACACAATTGCAAATTTTTTCACAAGTAAATATGTATGCAATGTGCTATTTTACACAAGTTGGTGATTTGACAAATCTACACGCAATTCATAAATGTAAAGAGCAAGAAAAGAAAATATTATAATTGTAAGAAAATATTTAGGGAGTTGTGAGACAATATAATAAATGAGCTAATTACTTCATTATGAGCAATGAATGAAGTCTATAACAAGTGCAAAACAAAATAAATATATATAAAACAATAAGAGCATGATTCACAATCCTACAATGTAACTAGAAATCTAGTACAAATAACAAAGTTTAATACCCCTAATGATGAATGGTTTAGTTATCCCAAAATAAATAACAGTTACTTACCTCAAGACAACCCAAACAAAACTTCTAAATATTCCAGTGATTAGCTAGTGTTGACTATCAGTCCTACACTAATTAGGATTTAAAATAAATAATTATGCAAATAGAGTTATTAAATTAGGTGTAACATTATAATAACTTACTATAAATAAATATGCATTCATATATATATATATATGGCGTCGGTGGGGGGCAGCTCTGCTAGGGTTTCGCCCGATGGCGATTGCCGACGTTGAATCCTTCGGCTTCCAATCCATTGATTTCGTCGTTCTCGACGAAGAAGGGCTTCTCCTTCGGCTTTTTTTTCGCATGTCGTCTCTCCTTCTGACATTCACACCATCGTTTTGTTGCCTGACAACGAAGGGCGGCTCCTTTGTTCCGTCGTCTTCTTTGAGCTTCGTCGAGGCTTCGTCTTCTGCATTTCGTTTTTTCTACGCGATTGTTGTCTGTCTTCGTAGGCCTTGTCGAGCTGCGGCTATTTCGCGACTTCACTTTATGCAGCTTCGTCCCGACCGTCTTCCGTCTTCGGCTCGTCATTTTTTTTCGCCCTCTGCTTGACTTGTCAGGGTTTTTTTCTGCTGTGATGGAGCTCCATTCTTCTGCGGTTGAACCTGACAAAGCCTTCTTCTCAAGTTATAAGGAGTATCGTGATGGTACATATGACGGTGCCTTTATTAAGAATGCAAGTAGAAAAAGTGGAAAAACAACACTTTTTTTTCTGAGTTAAAAATTTCAACCATGACTGAGAAATTCAAGTTCGCTCTTATTGAAAAATTTTAGTGAGGGCACCCACTTATGGAAGTTATCAAGAAAACTTTTGATGCTCTCAAGCTAGCAGGAAAGTGGAAAGTGAAGCTCATGGATGAGAGACATGTGTTGATTCAATTAATCATGACTAAAGACTACATTCAGATTTTCTTCAAAAAATATCTTAACATTGCAGACAAATCAATGAAGTTACTCAAGTGGTCTCCTAATTTTGACCACAATCATGAATCTCCTACTGTACTAGTATGGTTTAATCTACCTGGTCTCAAGCTGCACTTTTTTTATCATCAGGTTCTTTACTCTATTTGGGCCATACTTGGGGACCCTATGAAGCTAGATCTTCCCACTTTCAACCTAACCAAACCTTCTGTGGCCATAATACTCGCAGAAAGAGATTACTTTACCTGATGTTATTGAATTCTGGTTGGGCACAACTCATAATGGATATTGACAACAAATCATCATGGAGCATAGACCTCTTTATTGTTCTCATTGTAAGATGTTTTGGTATACCTTTGATAAATGTCATAAGCTTCATCCTAATTTGAAATTTAAAAATCAAGTGAATAAGGATGGATCTAACTCCACTGCTCTGGGCACATCTATTTCACTTGGAGAGAGAACTACCATAAGATAGGATTTGATGTTTGACTTAATTGCCCCTGTGGACCACCCCTCTGAAAGTATTGTATCTACAAATGATATGAAGCTAGATGGCTCTGTTGAGCAACCTACACTTTCAAACCCTATTGAAAACAACACTGAAGGATCCCTACCTACAAGGACTGATAATCAGGTGAACCTTGCAGCTCCCTATCTTCAGGAAGTATCAGGGGTAGAGGCGATAACTCATACCTCACATACACTAGAACCTATTGTGGGTACAACTTTTGGCAATCTTTTTACTACAACACTATCACATTCGAATGAGCAAAAATCTTTAGATGAGGAATGACAGGTCTACACTTTCAGGAGGAAGAAGAAGAATGAATATCTACTTGAGCTAAGGAATCTAATGGATTATACTTTGGTTACTTTAGACAATGGTACTCCCCTCACCAATTTGTTAGTTGATTCCCTTCCGAGAATTAGAGGCAGAGGCAAAACTAAATTGGGTCATCCCGATTGATCTTATATGTACCATCTATTTTTGGTTTTTTATTTTTTATTTTTTGTGTGTTGTGTGTTGTACCGTGTGGGTTGGGCGCCTACTTGGGCCCACTCACAGAACCTATCTGTACCCTTTTCGCTTTAATATATTTGCCCTTGGGCTTATATTGTATATATATTCTGCTACTTATATTCCACGCTCGTAGAAGAAGGGGAGTATGCTCCTCTATTCCGTCGTCTGTTTCGACGAGCTGTAGGGTCGATCGGGATCATGATCGTGCTGCGCCTGCATCGTGGTCTCTGTAGGGCCCATCGAGCTACGTTTGTGCTGCTTGCATTTCTGCTGTTTCGACCAGTACACGCCTTTCTTCCTTCCTGCGCCTGTTTCCTCAGGTTCGACGACCCGACACGCATCGTTGCGTTGCATCAAATCAGACCGTCAGCTTTCTTTGGCTTTTGCATCTGCGGGCTGATGGATCGTCATTATGGCGCTTCATTCTTCTTCGGGTTGATCCTGACAAAGCTTCTTTCGCCCACGTGGTTGGTAATCATCCTGCGGAATCTACTATTGTCTTCCCCTTAAGCTAAGCTACAAGGAATGTCGTGATACAAGGAATGTCGTGATGGTACGGGCGATTGCCCTTTTCTTAAAAAGATAAGCAGGAAGAGTGTGAAAATAACACTATTTTTCTCTGATTCAAAATTTTCAACCTCAACTGAGAATATCAAGTTCGCTCTTATTGGAAAATTTCAGTGGGGGCATTCATCTATGGAAGCTATCAGAAAGAG